GCTTTTCCATTTTCTCTCAAGGACACCACAAATGATTGGCTTTTTTCTATCTTCTTTGGGTAGCATCAACACATGGGCACAAATGAAGAAGTGCTTCATTGAAAGGTACTATCCCGCTTCTATCTCTTCAAGTCTCAAGAAACAAATCGGTAATATTGAGCAAAAAGATGATGAGACCATGTATGAATATTGGGAGCGCTTCAAAAAGCTTTGTGCTAGCTGCCATACCATGGGTACTCGGACCAAGACTTCATTCTCTACTTCTATGATGGTCTTGTGGATCAAGATCGCCGTATGGTGAATGCGGCATGTGGAGGGGATATTGTCAACAAAACCCCTTCTCAAGCAAGAGACCTCATCTCGGAGTTGGCCGAAAACTCTAGGCACTCTAACGGGCGGTCTTCAACTCGTAGAGTTGCCGCTGCGGAATCGACATCATCATTGGAAAGTCAAGTTGTCGTCTTGACTTCTTTGGTTAATGATTTTCTTTTAAATTTCAAGACCCAAGAAGTCAAGGTCTGCGGCATTTGTACACAACAAGGACATCCCACGACTCATGCCCAACTCTTCAAGAAGACAATCCCAAGCAAGTAAACGCTTTGGGGTTCCAAAACCAAAAGAGGTATGATTCTAATGGCAATACTTATCATTCCGGGTTTCGAGATCACACCAATCTTAGATATGGGAACCCTCAAGGGAACCCACAACAAAATTATAACCCTCCACAAAATCAATTTCCTCAAAACAAACAACCATATTCTAAACCCCAAGGACAAGGCTCAAGTATGTTCACGGAAGACATGATCCGAGCACTCACCTCAAATGTCTCGACTATGCAACAAAACATGGTCCAATTTCAACGTGAGACCAAGTCTAGCATCCAAAACCTTGAGAACCAAATCAGTCAAATCTCAAGTGCGGTGAGTAGACTTGAGGCCAAGTATTCGAGGAAGCTTCCATCTCAAACGGGGCCGAATCCTAGGCAACAAGCCCATGCCATGCGGTGACATTGAGGAGTGACAAGGAGTTGGTTATTGCCAAGGAGAAAGCAAAAAGCCACATTGGCGAGGAAAATGTTAAATTATAAATACAAGTTTTAATTTATACTCCCTCCGTCCCACAAACAATGGGACACGAGGGAGTGACACACAAATCTATAAAAAGTGGTTTATGTGGTTGATATTGAATTGATAAAGTAAGAATAAAGTAAGAATGATTTAGAGCCACACAAACTTTACCAAATAAGGTATGAGACAATCTTAATTAGTGGGACGGACCAAAATGGTAAAATAGGACAATCTAAGCGGGACGAGGTAGTAAATACTCCGTACAAGTTTTAATTATGTTATTTAAATATGCAAGTTAGATTCACATGTTATTTACATGTGAAAATGTTAGATTTAAATTGCAATCATTATGAGCCCGTTTGGTAACACGAATATCGGCTGATTTGGTTGATTCTGCTGAAATTTATGAAGTTCTGGCTGAAGTGGCTCCATTGACTGATTCTGTTGATTACAGAAAACATTATTTTTAAACTATATTTTATTCATAAAATAAAGAAAAAATTATATGCAAAAATAGCTAAAATGGTCGTCTACAGTAACTTTAGCCAATACAATCAGAAAAATAACTCCAACCTTACTTTTTCAACATATTACACAATTCAGCGTGCGGAAGCAAAAGTTACGTGTTTGGTGAAAAAGTTGACTGATAAACCGAAAAACAATGTTGCCAAACGGCCTCTATATGATAAGATTGAAAAAAGAAGGGAAAAGAGGCAAATAAGCCGACGTACTAACCAAAGTAAGAAGAAAGATTGACTTGAAGCCATCATGCGGGTGTCTTCTTTTAGGTACTTAGAATCTATATCCTCTCTTACATACTTAGGAATACAGAAATGATCAGGTCCAGCCCTCACCTGTCCAGCCGCTGTCCGAACTCCGCGGTTTGGGACGGTTCCCGTTGGATTTTTTTGATGAAATATTTTGAGCATATTCCCCATCAAGTCTTGTTTGTCCATACCAAATTGCAGCTCAAAATGCAATCGGGAAGGTATTCAAATTATTTTTTGAAGTTGACTGCATTTTTATATGTATATTTTGGCGCAAGCAACTTAAAAAAATGATTTGAATGCCTTCTCGATCGAATTTTGAATTGAAATTTGGTATGGACAAACTATACTTGATGAGGAACATGCTCGAAAACAATTCATCAAAAAATTCCACCGGGAACCGCCCCAAACGGCAGAGTTCGGACAGTTGCTTCCGTCCCTCCAGATGGACCTGTGCATTCTTCCTTAGGAATATACTCTGAAGCGATGAAAAACTAAAAAAGAACATGTTTTTCTTTCATTTTTAACTTCCTAAATGTATTGACAAGTATATTGTGGTCTGATGACATCACTGCGGATCTCTGAAAAAGGAGGTTGCATGTTCGAGTCTCATCCCAATCAAGAATGTTGACATTAACATGGTTAAATTTATAAATATAACTATATGCTCAAATTCTATAAACAGGACTAACAAAAGGATTAAGTTTATAAATAGAACTATCTTTGTTTTTATTTTCAAAATAGAATTCATTCACTTCTAGTTTGAGGAGTTTTAATTATCATCTTATTGTTTTAGCAAAACTAAATAAGTCTTATTTCGGAGTATCTGTTTCCGTCTTATACTGAACAATTTCTATTAATTTTTTTTCATAATATGAAGTTTCAAAATATTAATTTTTATACTAATATTTACGGCTATTAGCCCTAACAGGACTAAAAGCACTTCAAAATTACACAATAGGACTATACTTCTTTTATTCCCAAAATAGGAGTAATAGATGTCTCTTCTTCCTATTCTAACCCTCAACCTATAATTTCTAAGAGATTTATTTTTTAATACTATAAATCATAGTTTATTTATAATAAAAACATAGAAAATCGTAAAATATTTATAAATGAATAAAAAAATCGGGGAAAATAAAATAAAATATCACCACCTCCGTAAAAATCTGAAAAAAAATAAAATATTAAAAAAATATGTAGGCCACTAACTCTGCATCCTCCACCACCCAGCACCACCACCTCCGGTCGCCGGAAAAAATGCCATCTTGTGTAAAAATGCCACATTTCTATGAAAATACCAAAAAGATACATTATATTTTTACTGTTTGAAAATATCCAGCTTTCTTTTCAAAATTGCCATCACGATGACATGTTTTTTCCAACATGGAAATTTTTTTCGGCGACCGGAGATGGCGGTGATGGAAGGTGGCTGAGGTGGTGGTTAAGGTCTGTATATTTTTTATGATATTTTATTTTAATTTTTTATGTTTTATAATGGTTATTTAAAAAATCCTATTAGAAAGAACAAAGGAAAGGGCAAAATAGGACGAGTTAGTCCTATTTTATGAATTTAAACATTAAACTCCAATTTTTGCAATTATACTTTTATTTAGTCATATTTAGGGAAACCCCCCCTCATATTTAATATCAATACATAATTAAATATAATTATAGTCAAAGTTGTGTATTGAAAAACGCGAAAGTCAAATGATTACACACACATATTATAAACATATAAACAAGTTGCAATTCAAACGTATTATTTTCTTTATTTCATTATAGACGTACATACATATAATTAAGAGAGAATTCTTAAACTAGGAGCAAAACATAATAAAAGTGCAGGAATAGGAGTCTTACGTTTCGTAAGTTTTAATAGAAGTAAAAATACAATATGCTATTGACAACACTACCCTTAATGAAAACACTACATTATTTAATCAAATAAAAGCATACACAATGGACTGCTAGCTCTTGGGTCTTGCCGTACACAACCATCACTGCCAGAAGTTGATCCCGAACACTATTTTGGACCTTGCCGTACCCATTTAGGGAATAAATTAATAGTAACTCCTATTTTGGACCTTTATCATTGTTTTACTCCCATTTAGGGTAATGACTTTATAATTAAACTAAATCACATGAAAAACATGAAAGTCAAACATATAATTAAACAAGTTGCAATTCATACGTACTCCCTCCGATTCAAAAACAAGTTCCAGTTCGGTTTACGATGCTTGACTGACGATAAAGCAACTCGATCCCTGTTCACACTCGGATTATTTTTAGTAAATAAAATTTACATATTAAGAAACTACATTAAAACCGCTACAAAACCTGATCAATAAAATTTCAATTTAATAAAAATTTGATATATATAATAAAAAATCATGAGTGACTTAAGTTGACCAATGAATAATGAAATGGAACTTGTTTTTGAATGGGAGGGAGTAGTATTTTGTTTATTTCATTATAGACGTACGTACATATAATTAAACTAAATCACATGCATGCATGCGGGCGGTAAATACACATGCCCGCAGGCGGTAAATTTATGTTAATCTTCCTCCGAGATACATCAAATTAAACAGGTTTAATTTCTCAAAGGTTGGATGGATCTAATCATGGCGGCGGCCGGTTATAACATAAATGCTAATGCCTAGAATCGCCAAACCCATAGCCACAGTCACCATTTCCCGTCGATGAGTCCTAATCAGCTCAAAATAAGCTGCTGCTGCAGCACTATAACCGGCCGCTATTTCTGTCGTGGTTGCCGCCGGTGCCGCTGCCGGAATTCTGGTATGCCTTTCTTCTTCTTCTTTACCCATACTTTTGCTTTTCGTCCTTCCGTCTTCAAGGCCGCTGCCGCCGCTTTCCTCCTCAGCTCTTCTTTTAGTAGTTTCAACGCTTTGATCACCTCTATCAGTCCTCTGTGGAGGAAAAATGGATTACGATCAATAAGTCAAATTCCATCATTATATTCCCATTTAATTTTAAGATCCATAGACTATTAACAAAAAGTTAACTCAATACCACAACTGTGGTGTAAAGACAAAATTCTCAAAACAAATACTTGTACTACGTATGCATATGTAAATACAAAAATTAGCATATTCTACGTACGTAATAAATTAAATAATTGGGTAGACTTTAATTAGTATTTATCTGTTTAGTTTTTAGTGCTGTGTCATCTTTAAGAACGCCACCATCACTTCCCGCCTCGACTCCCTTTTTAGATTCATTTTCATTTCTATTCATGTTCTATTGAGGATAGATTAATTAATCATCGCATGCATAACAAATATTATGTTTGTTCATAAATAAATGCAACATGTTGAATTTTACATTATTCACTTTTTGTATTTTGATTACGTCTTATTTATTAATGTAATACCCTCTCCGTCCCATAAATTTTTTCTCGGTTTGACTTTGATTGAAGTTTAAGAACGTGAAAATCAATTCAAATGCATGATTGTAGTTGAGTAAAATAAATAAATAAATAAATATTAGCGACACAAAACTTTCCAAATAAGGAAACAAGAAGAATTTTTTAAGTGACAAATGGAGTAATGAATTATTCTTTAAAAAATTCTTTTAAATTTGTCTCATTTTAAATTCTTTCAAAATCTGATTTTTCTTAATGTTTTCTAAAAGTAGAAAAATTAAATATATTAAACGGATGTAATTGAGTTAATACACAAACTAACATATAAATCATTAAACGTTGACCCATACGTAATTAGTAATTACCTGTGTGGTTTGTGGCATCGGTGCGCCACCATCACTTTTCCCCTCAACTCCTTTTTTATCCATGGTCTGTTGAGGATGAATTAATCATCCCACGCATGCATGTTAAATTATAACAACTATTCTATACCTAGTGACTAAACAAATTAAAATAACATATAAATATCATAAATTGTCTTAATAGGAGCAAAAATACATTAATTAGATTTCAAAACATGAGCAGAGCAATTTTGACAAATAATGTCAAAATATGGCAGTATGCTGATTTCAAAATGATCCTCCTGATTTGCAAAATTTGACTTTTTGGGTCAAACAGTTTCATTTTAATCACTTAATTGGGATATCAATTCTTAAATAAATTTTAATTGGAATTTGCAACTTTGTAGAGATTTTAATATAATTTCTGCATATGTCACTACAAAAAAACACGCTGTTAGTCACGGACTTAGTCACGGACCGTAGTATAAAAAATCCGTGACTAACTCTGCTAGTCACGGACTTTGTCCGTGACTAAATCCGTGACTGTTTGGGCGTGACTAATTCTAGTCACGGTCATTTTATCCGTGACTTAGCGTAGTCACGGCTTAGTCACGGACCATTTCCGTGACTAACTTGTCACCGGAATAATCACACCGGCGACTTAGTCACGGGAAAAGCCGTGACTAAATATAGTCACGGACTTAATCCGTGACTAAATTTTCAAATTTTAGAAAATAAACCGCCAGATGTTACTGTTTAACTTTTCAAATTTCAAATGTTAGTCACGGACTTCAGCCGTGACTACTTTTTTTTAAAAAAAAAAAATTAAAAAATAAATTTTCAAAAAATAACTTTTTTAAAAATCGGTCTACAATTTAGTCACGGCTCGGATCCGTGACTAAAGTTTTTTATTTTTAAAAAAATTTTTTTTTTTTATAAAAAAAATAATTTTGTTTTTAATTATACTTTATAAAAGTTTATTTTAAAAAATATTTGCATTCATAAAAGTAATAAATGTTCACATTTCATAAGAATGAAAAAAACACAATAGAACACACATTTCATAACCAAACAGACTGAAATAAAAGTAATAATAAGCACAATAGAATTATAGTAAATAAACAATGTTCAAATAAAAATGTATATCATTTACAAGTTCCTCCGATTACCATTATGATAATATCTAGAATCATCATATAGATAATCTTCTTCGGTCTCATCTTCTCGGTTGTCTCCAGCTTGGCCTTCTCGATTGCCACCGCGACTGCCTCCTCCGCGACTGCCACCTCCGCGACTGCCACCTGCTTGGCTGCCTCCAGAGGTTTGAAACAGGTTGTGAAAATTGATATCCTGAATAGAACCAAATGAAGGCAACCCGGTAGCAGAGTTGGTACGGAAATAACCGCCCATGTGCGGAACTTGAGGTGTCTGCTCAGGGTGCATTATATACGGCTGAGGCTGAGGCTGATTCCGAATTCCGGCGCTGAGGATCCGTTCCATCTCTTCCAGCCGGGCCCTTGTTTCTTCATCTTTTTTGCGTTGCTCCTCCAAGGTGCGCTGCTGCTCAGCCAAGGCCCGCTGCTGCTCCTCCATCTCCCGCTGCATTTGAGCGATACGCGGATCCTCTCCGCGCCTTGATCGGGAAGATGAAGCACCGCTGCGGTCGTACAAGATCCGTTGCCCCTCAGCCCCCATGCACGGGACCCGGCCCTTGTACACCCCAACTGCCTCAAAGATGGCATCATCCTCCACATCAGAATCAATCTCATCCTCCTGAGTCAAGCCTAATTCTGCCCGCCTCTTCTCAACATTTGTGTTATACTTTGACTACATGTACAAAAATTGTTAATTTAATGTTACTCAATTTGATTTTGAATGGAAATAAGTAACAAAATAATGTTACTTACTTCAATTTCAGCAAGGCGGGGTGGCAGATCGGCATCGGACTCATCGCCGTGCTTTGTCCAGCAGTGCTTGATGACCTTGAGAATTGAGACCTTCTTCTTCTCAGGCCCCGACTACAGTTTGGAAAAAAGGCTTAAGATCCATAATTAATTGTTAAAATAAAGGGTTGTAATTGTGTAAGATTTTTTGAAAAATACTTACAAGATCTTCTTTATGTCTACTCTGAGGTTTGCGGCCCCCATGCCATTGGGTTTCTAAAGCCTTCTCGGACATCCGGTTTTTCTTACCGGATTGACTTCTTGCCAAGAAGTTTGGATCAGAAGACCAGTGACGGACGAGGTTATCCCACACCTCATCCGAACACCATCCAGGCTTTACCCCGCTCCTTCGGGCACGCTTAAAAGTAGGACGAAGCCAGTTTGAAATCCTAGCGTTATACGCTCTAAGAATAGCGGGACCTTGGGCTTCAGTCCATCGAAACCGACCCTTTATAAAAAACAAATAAATTAATTTATCTTTTATTAAATGTTACGTTAATACAATTACGCAGAGAAAATTCATTTTTTTACCTTGAAAAGGTTCCACCAAAGTTCACGAACCTTGGGGTCAACTTCCGTGTATGTTGCCCAGTTCCCAAGAAAGTGTCCTCCGATTATTACTTTGATTTGGTCCAACACTTCTTGATCGCTTCAGAAAATTAATATTATTTATTTATAAAAGTTTTGATAAAATTATGATACATTGAAAAAATTATTTCTCGTTAGATAAAATTCATAGTTACTTACTTCGCAACCATGTGGGGCGTCAGCCAAAGCGCATTTTCATTGTTGCGCTCAGCTTCGGTTAAGGGCACATAGTTTGGGCGGGGACGCGAAGTTGATTGTTCATTGCTCATCTAAAATATATTAATTTATATTTTTAAATGTTAGTGTAGTTATAATAAACGTGTATAGCATATTAAACTGTGTATAAGTCTAATATGAGGGGTCGATATATTTTCAATTATATTGATTAGCCTTTAAGGCAAAATGTTAAACTTTTGCAAGTTTACATGAGGGGACATATATACTTTATATAAGGAAATTATAAAAATCAATTTAATACAGAAAAAAAAAGTTCGACTTATCAAAAACAGTTTTATCTAAAAAAAAGTTATTAAAAAACAGTTTTGTAAAATAGTTTTATAAACTGTTTTATAAAAAATTGTTTTATAAAACAGTTTTATATAAAAACAAATTTGTATAAACTGTTTTATACACGGTTTTATTTATAAAAAGTTTTATAAAAAACAGTTTTATAAATTATACAAACTGTTTTATAAATACAGTATAATATTTAAAATACCATTGTTATATTTTTTATGTCGATTTTTATAAAAAAAATATTTATTAGTACACCTCATTTTTAGTAAACTTCATAAAACCGGTTAATTAAACTGCTTATTAATCACTTTTTATTAAAATCTGTTTTAATTAAACTGTTTTTTATTAAATTGGTTTTTATCAAACTGTTTTTTATTTAATTGATTTTTATCAAACTGTTTTTTTTTTATTAAACTGTTTTTTATAGAACAGTTTTTTATTAAACTGTTTAATACAAAAACAATATATTATTAAACTTTTTTTAAAATCTATATTTTATCAAACTGCTTATTAATCACTTTTTATTAAAATCTGTTTTAATTAAACTGTTTTTTATTAAATTGGTTTTTATCAAACTGTTTTTTATTTATTTGATTTTTATCAAACTGTTTTTTTTATTAAACTGTTTTTTATATATCAGTTTTTTATTAAACTGTTTAATACAAAAACAATATATTATTAAACTTTTTTTAAAATCTATATTTTATCAAACTGCTTATTAATCACTTTTTATTAAAATCTGTTTTAATTAAACTGTTTTTTATTAAATTGGTTTTTATCAAACTGTTTTTTATTTAATTGATTTTTATCAAACTGTTTTTTTTATTAAACTGTTTTTTATAGAACAGTTTTTTATTAAACTGTTTAATACAAAAACAATATATTATTAAACTTTTTTTAAAATCTATATTTTACAATTTATTTCGGAAAACAGTTTTTAATGTCTAAATAATTATTTTATAGTTAACATGTCAAATTTTTTTGGAAGTTTGACATGAGGGGGTATTTTTTAAATAATTCGGAAATAATAAATTTGATTAATGATAAAATAATAATTATCCTAACAATGTCTAAATAATTCAAGCATAAGTCCGAAATTAAATCATGCATTTGATTGAAAAAACATGCATGCTGTTTAACCTAAAATCAAATAATATTTAGGCATGCATATTAAACTTGTACAAAAAAAATCAAATTGAATCAAACTATATCTAAAGCATGCGTATTAGACATCAAACAAAAAAGGAAAAATATATTTTGTCAACTTTGAGCATGCAAATTAATATTGTAATTCGAAACTAAAACAAAACTAAGAATTATGGAGAGATTAATATCGAGCATGCAAATTAATATTGTTATGCGAAATTAATATTACAATATTACAAAATTAATAGTGTCATGCGAACATAATAATAGCATTCATTTGTATGTATAAACGTAAAAACATACACATAAATATGTAATTGTAGAATGAATCATTAAGGCATGCAATTTTCAATAAATAGAACATGCATAGGAGCATATAAACATGCATTTGAGTACATAAACACGCATTTGTGAGTAAAAAATTAATCGAGAAAACATAACCTTGATGTGGAGAGTGGAGCGAAAAAAGAGGATTGGTAGACGACGGCAGTGGTCGGCGGCAACCGGCGGCGAACAACAGCAGTGGACGGCGGACGGCGGACGGCGGCGGCGTTGCACTCAGACCGGCGGCAGTGGAAGGAAAGTTGGAAGAGAAAGAGTTTGGCTCGAAAATAGGGTTTGGGAAGCGTAGGTTTGAAAAAATCGCTAAGTGTTGTTTTTATATATCGGTGTAGTCACGGTCTTAGTCACGGATATATCCGTGACTAAACCCTTCGTAATCAACGAAATCAGCCACGCGGCATCAGCCGCCTTTGACCGGTTTAGTCACGGTTTTATCCGTGACTAAGACCGTGTCTAATTCAAATTTTGAATTTAGTCACGGTCCTAGTCACGGTTAAAACCGTGACTAGACCGGCGGCCCTGACACTTCTCCGGCTGCCAGACTGACATGTTAGT